ATGTTGTGAAAACATAATCAAACAACCGAAAGGAGACTGCGACCACATAAAAGGCCACACCTTGGTCTTCGTACATTCGATTAAGATTATGGTTAAACATATGCTGACAATGACAGATAATGTTGTTCAGGGTATGTTTTTCAAACTTTCTTATGGCTTGTAATTATATTGTAAATATTACGATGGCTCTGAAGTGTATGCTTAAAGTTTTCTCGCAGTCTCCCTTATCTTTATTAAGTTGGTATGATCTCGTTTTCTTATCTTGGTTTGAGTGGCATGGAGTTTTTCTTGAACTTACTCAGAATTTTACGGGCACCAAGACGGCAATGATTGGGGAGTTCCGTCCTCAAAGGGACCATTTAATTATAAAATTGGTCCATAGAATTGCCCTTATTTTTCACTTTCACGAGTGTGCTAAAAATGACGCCTTACACTAGCGATGGCAGCGAGACGCCTGAGAATGTACTAAATCACTGGAAAGTTTCATTAATTCTGTGGCAGTTGTCGCATGGATAGTTACATCCACGAGGTATCCTTGTTACTGCGACTAAATTGTAAGTCTTCACTTGTTTTTACTTATTCACACTTTTTCCTCTGTATTCATATTTGACAAAACAATAGTGTATATACACATACATTTATTTGATATATTATATTGCAGCTCTTCAGAAAGTGCTCTCACAATCAGGAAATCCTCTCATTCTGATTTTAAGAGTTTGCTCTCAGATACCCGCATTTCTGAAGATTCTCTGCATTCACCAACATCATCAATCTCTCGACGAATCTGCTCAAGCCCAGGCTGCCCGCATTCCTTCAATAACACGGTGCCATCGCCTTTAATCTCAAATGAGTCAGCCTTTCCATCAAAATTTTTCTTAGGAGGCTCTCGCTTGCCTGGCAAAAGCGATTCAGCCTTCGGACCATCCGGTATCGGCAGAGTCACATCTAAAGGCGCTCGCTACTTGAGAAATGTAGTCAATGTTAAGCACTTGGCTTCAGCAGGAGGAAAGCCATCGGCACAACTCACAGATCCGTCTTGTACGGGTCTACCAAGTAATTGTCAGCCATTATCATACACTCGTATGAAGGGGGCAAGAAGTCCAGTTAAGCGCATCCGACGTGCATTTAGCACTGAGTCCATTATTAGCAAATCAGGGTGAGCTTATTTAGCCAAATTTAGTCTCTTAACTGTCATTTAGTAACTTTTTCTGTTTTTTTGCTATTTCAACACCAATATACTGATTTAAAGTGAGACATTTAATTATTAAGACAAACTTTATGATTGAGTATGGAGAAAAGCTGCGTTTCGAAGAATCTGTGAATACAGTGACGTTAGAGGTTGTTTGACATTATTTTCGCAACATAGCCATATTGGTAGGAAGACTTAGAGGAACGCACATAGTCTGGGGTTCATTGTCTGTATGATCATCTCCAAAGTTGAACTGTGTACGTGGTACATTCCCAAACGTTTCGCCGGCATCGTAGTCGGCATCGTTAGTGAGTATCGCCATTCTTAGCACCATACAACAACTCGTCAAAGAGACAAGTAAAGCCGATACTTTTACCAAACGTGTGCTAAACAATTATGGTATCGCCCCTTCTACCCTGGGTTATTCGCGTTTCCGGTAGCATCATATCATGCCTTCACACTCCAACTGTCGTTCTCACCCTCCCTTCATCATTGTGCAGGGAATGTTGATCAGAGTCTGCTTTATTATAATGCTGTCTTTTTTCCTAATCTTATTCCAGTCTCCCTCTTGCTCCGTAAAATCCGTTTGCTCTAACCCTTGTTCACCTATTTCACTCGACTCCTGCTACCACATCTATCCTACTCGAAGCGTTATTCGCCCTTCACCTGCGTTTGGGTAACTTATTCGAGGCGCAAGCCTCTGAGAGTCATGGTCGCCCCTTTGCTACATGTACCACGTCTCTGGTACAACAGACCTACCGTCAGCCAACTAGCTCCGGTCCCCGCCATCTCTATCCTGTTTCTATCCATAATACCAATTCTATGATTTGTCATGCCCTAGTCTCTTGTGTGTCAATCCACAAATGTGGTACAGCTTGTTTTGATTTGGTTCAATGTTGAACCACCCAAACGCAGGTGAGGGCGAATAATGATTCGAGTAGGATAGATGTGGTAGCAGGAGTCGAGTGAAATAGATTAACAAGGGGTAGAGCAGCAGGATTTTACGGAGCAAGAAGGAGACTGGGATAAGA